TTACGAATAATGAATATAATATTAAGACAAAAAAAGAAGTGAGGAAATCGAATTCTTGTCAATAAACAAAATTTCCTGCCTTATTTGTATTTAAGAGTTAAGCGAAGCAATTTTATACAAGCTCCAAATAATTCATAATTCCCATCGTATTTTCAATTTTATCATTTTTTATCCATTTTTTACAAAGTTGCCCTAAATATGTTTATATGTATATACATATCATTTACTTAAGTTGCTTTTGTTTCTTCAAATTATACCACGCCTTCAAGTGTGCAATTAGATTCTAAGGCTTATTATAATTGCTCATTAAATGCTTAGCAAACCCAAACGAAAATGTATCCCAACAAAATTTCCAATTATCCTTCGAGGTTGCTAAATTAACGCAAATTTCTGGCTAAAAAAACGAGCACGAAAGCCATTGGGAAAAGTCAAGAGAGCAAATGGCAAACGTTGTCTGACCTTTAAGCATATGAGAACGGGAAAAGATTCAGACTCTAGCAGTCGGTTTATCCAACCTGCATAATTTATGTGGGCGTGGCTGTTAAGGGAGGCGGCGCATACCAACAATTTTACATCATTAAATGCCAAATGCATCATTTAATTTGAAATTATAAAAGAAAACAGAAAACATAAAATCCCACTAATAGAGAGGGGCCACAAAGCACAATAGCGATTATTTATGTGGCCAAAAGAAAAAAAAAAAAAAAAAAGGGAAAGAGAGAAATAGACTGTGAGGCAAAAAGAGAAAGAGCAGCGCCTGACAAACTGGCAGTCGCCCGTGTTGTTCTTGATAATAAAACAAAGTTTTAACGTCGAGTCTCCAAACTCCAGCATCATATTTCTCGTATCTTGTCTCTGGCTGCATTTTTATGAAATACGAGTTCATTTTTATCCAAAGCCGTTGAGAATGGGCACGGAGCTCTGTGGAAAATGATGGCAACTCACCTGTAAAGAGAAAATGTAGCAGAAAACAAACATTAGAATAGGCAGTTAAGTATATTTGATTAAGGTTTTATGTCTGGGCCCATTGTCTGGCTAGCGAAAGGAGCCCAGGATGTGGCAATTAACGTTGTATAAATAATTGAAAACTGTTTGCATTCTTTATAGCCTTTCTCTGCTTTACCCATACAAGACTAGACTTAAATTGACTACGATTTGCCGTTCAGCTCTCGAACCAACTGATTTAAAGGCGTGCAAATTATGAAATAATTATTTTACAGGATCTTTATAATTACTGGATATGTTACCCACTTGAACTACGATAAAGTTACTGCTTGAGCAATTTATTGAAGGCCTTGGAAACTTGGCTGACTAAATGACAGTCTGCTTAAATGACTTAATAAGAAACGGACTAGCTTCTGAGTTAACTAAGCAACACACAGCCTAAACAGTATAAACTAACTAAAGCTACATTTTTACAATAGTTTCCTTTAAGAATAAGAAGAAATTTATCAAAATTTTAACTTCAAGAAAAATGTTTTTTTTTTTTTCGTTTTCCGAGATAGAATTCTGGATAAAAAAAAATAAGTTAAGCAAATGAAAACCGAAGTTTGAGTGTAAATACCACTAGACATTGCTCTGACAACCGTAAAGGACATGCACATACGTTTTATTCGAAATACTTTTTTTAAAGTCCATTCACAAATGCATCAGAGTCGGAGTCAAGAGCTTTACAACAGCCGACTTACTTTACTGAGCTGGCTAAAAACTATCTCATCATCAGTTGAATGTATATTATCTATGATCGCTTCTATAGAAGGACACGAACGAATATTTGCACTATAAGCATGTCATCTGCTATATGCCAACAAGGGTATTTCATATTCGGCATTCTCGCAACTCTTTTCTTTTGCCACTTTTTCTAGTTGCCAATTATCATGGGCAGGTTTTTTTGCACTCATGTATTTAATCTTTGTTGCCAAGGCTGGTAAAATCTATTTGTGTCACGTTGCCAAGTGTTGCACCATGCTCGAGCCACGTTTTCAACTGACACACACGCACACACTCTCGAGCGTGTGAAACAGTTTGGTTGTGCGAGCTGTTGCCAGTGGCACAGCACAGGAAGGAAAGGAAGTTACGCCCCTCGCACACATTGAATTATGAAAATTATAAACAAATTAGCCATACAGCTAGGATTATGTAGTGCGGCCTTGTTGTTGGAGTTGCATAAATTAGCGCCCCTCAAGTCGCAGAGTCTCAGCCAAACTCGCCCCTCACCCAATTGTAATCTGTGCTAAATCTGCTTGTAATATGTTTAAAATAATTGGAGCATTGGGTATTAACGGTAATAATAGCCCTTAGCTAACTATTTCGAGTCCGCCAAGTCGGTTGGCTGGTTAAGTGTCTTTAACTGCGGCCCTGGTCTGTGGATTAGCATAACAAATGCAAATTATGATAATGACATATCAAATTTACGCTTGTGTTAGCCCTGACATAATTCAGAAATTTTGCATAAAATGAATTCGGAATAATAAATAATACTATAGGATTTCAGAAGCATAGTACACTTTCTCTAATGCACTATACTTATTGTATTTAATGGAAAACGATAACAGAAAATAGTTGCCTACATTTAATTCCTTAATTCCACAAATATTAATTTTAAATCAAAAATTGGTTTCAATAAAAAATCCATTCGGACTTAGCCCATGTTTATATAAATCCCTTAATTCTCAAATTTATTCGTGGAATTTTATTAAATTATTATTTAATAACATAATAATTTAATAAAATTGTGCACAAAATGTAGACATCTTTAATCTCAGACTCAATATAGGATTGTTTTTTATTTTTATTCATATTTTCAAAAAAAGTAAAGGAAATCACCAAATAAATTACCAAAACCTTTATTTTCAAACTGTTAAGAGAATTATAAATTAAAAGAAACTTTAATTTGCGTTTTATAAATTTGTTTTTCAATTTAACTCAATTTCAATTTCAATTTAACTCATCTTTTTAAAGAGTGTTTTTTAACAATAAGTTGATCATTTTATCATTGCTAGTTTAAAATATTAAATAAAATCAGTATAACAATTAATTTATATAGCGCATTCAATTGTTAAAAGTATGAAGTTAAATCTACATTCGACTTTTTTGTTCACATATAACAAAAATGAATTAAAGTATAAATATGTTTTTGAGAAAACTAAGATCAGAATATGCTGCGCTTCACACACATTTTAACCAAATGTCATTTGCAGCCATTGAACACAGCGACCTGCCCACGCCGCAACGCCCACGTGACAGGTGCAATCACGTGCGTGTCTCGGCCAGCAGAGACCATTAAACCGAATGTTGCATCAACCTGGTAATTAAAGCCATGCGCGCCGCAAATGTCAGTTAGCTGCCAGCGGTAACAGCAGGTAACGGTACCAGAACCATAGAAACAGGACTAGGAACAAGGACGTGCCAGCGGTCGAAGGCTTTGCTGGCCCCAAACTCCCCGCTCAACTGGACTCAACTCAGGGTGACATGTGTTTGTGTGAGTGTGTGTGTGTGCGCGCTAGTTAACGCTGTTGTTGCCTGCCTCTGGGACCTGCAGCTGCTGATTGCGCTACGTGGCCATAACCGGACCACGGCACAAGCTGTGGCACGCATAAAATGGCGACGTCTTGCTGCATTTCATTTACTGCATCGGTTACGGCAACTGCAACTGCAACTGCAACGGCAACGGCAATAGCAATGGCCCTGGCAATGGCGATTTCAACTGCATTCCGCATTGTGCATTGTGAATTGTGCACGTGCATTGTGAATTGGGCATTGTGAATTGGGCATTGTGCATGTGCATTAGCGAGCACAACACAGGGCGACGCTCAAAGAACGCCGCCCGTTGGGTTCGCCCAACGTAACAGAGGGCTTTCCTGTGCGCACTCTGGGGCGAAAGGTGCATTTACTTGCGAAAAGTTAAAATTTTAAATAACATTTATTCTAAAAATTTAATATATTTTTTTAATACAGCCAATGAATAATATGTATAAGAAATATTTGTTTTAACTCGGAACGGTAACCAAGGGTGTTTAATATTCGGTGTGCCCAAATGACCGACTTTATATATATATAATTATATAAATATATATATATATATATATCAGTTCCATCAAGTCTTCTGATTTTTCTCATAGAACAACTGATCCAATATTGATTCGATTTTGCTTCTATGTAGGTAGCATTAAGTAACTAAGAAACACTTTAACTTGATAAATCATCTAAAATCCGTAATTAGAAATAAGTCGTGAACATGTACGGAACTAGATCAGAACTCGTTTCCCCAAGCGACTCGTTCGAGATGATTGTCAGAATTGTGTAACCTCTTTAATTGTCATGATATTGGCAATAAATAAGATTAGTAACTAAAATCTTACATTGGTGAGCCCCACGTTTAAACTGAAGAACTTGTCTTTTAACCGATCATTTCTATAAAAGCTTTATGAGATAGCAGTCCGATTTGGCCATTTACAACATATGACAACATCCGTATGATGTCGGAGATGTCGCTTGTATGTATTACACATTTCATGGCTTTATTAAAACACCCTAAATTAACAAAAAACAAGTAAGAGGTTCTTGTCGGGAGCTCCCGACTAGGGGATACCCTGAACCATCTTCTCCCAACAGCAAATGCATATATATTCTATTTTATAAGCTATATGTCAAGTTTGGTGACTATAGCTCTTATTATTTACCAAAATTGCTCTTATAGGTTCTGAGATCCTTGCGTTCATACATACGGACGGACGGACGGACGGACGGACGGACATGGCTAGATCGACTCGGCTATTGGTGCTGATTAAGAATATATACACTATATGGGGTCGGAGCTGCTTTCTTCTTATATTGTGTAAATTGAAATAATTGTACTTCACCTATCACTAATTAAGCGATATACTGTATTATATGCTTGATAAGAAATGAAAAATATATAATCAAGAGCTTAGCTTATTTGATTTACGCTCAAGTAAAAACAGTTTTGAACCATTTGCCTAGATCGGCGGATCGAACTATGAATTCCACGACATGTTCAGCAAAATTCAACATAAAATTCATTATGTTATTATTAATATTTGCACTAGTGCAAATGTGTTATGGCAGCGATAAGGCTGAAAGCTTGGTAAGTTTAGTTTTTGTTTTAATGGAAAGTTTATTAATAGCATTTTACAGAGCTGCGCAGCAATTAAGGAGTTGGATAGGCAGTGTGAGACCTATTGTTACCGCGTGGTAAAGCCGCTCCTACAAGGCGCATCAGACGCTTACTTAAAACAACAAGAATTTTCAAAATTACAGACACAAGTTCATGAAAAAGAGATCATAATCAAGAACATGCAAAAGGAGCAAGCCGTTCTGCAAGCTAAATTCGAAATTCAAAACCTCTTATTACTTTCACATAAAGATAATTTAGCCTCCAAAGATGTCCTAATCAAAGGCCTGAAAACTGAATTGAAAGAATTTCTATACACTAAAATCCAACGAGCTGCACAAATAACAGATTGTAAATCGACGACTACTATAAAGATCAAAGAACTGGAAGAGAAGCTAACAAAATGTAGCTTTGAGTCTAGAGTTTCCAGTTGTTTGGCCAATAAAACCGAAGTACAAGAGACTAAGGTTTACGATTTGAAAACCTTTCCAACGCCTTGCGATTCAGACTTGGCAGGACCGGGTTGGACCGTTGTCCAGAGGCGTAAGGATGGCAGCGAAAACTTTAATCGGAGCTGGGACGATTATCGTCTAGGCTTCGGCGATCCGCAAGGAGAATTCTTTTTGGGACTCGAAAAGCTGCACCTGCTTACAAAAGCCCAACCGCACGAACTCTTTATATATATGAAGATCTTTGAAAACGAAACAGCTTACGCTCGCTATGATAAGTTTCTTATAGGCAATGAAACTGAATCGTTTCAAATTAAGTCCTTGGGAAAATATACTGGGACTGCTGGCAATGCCCTGAGAGCTCATAATGGCATGAAGTTTACTACAATTAATCGCGATAATGATCTCTCTGAGTTAAATTGTGCTTCTGAATGGTCGTCCGGTTGGTGGTTCCGTAAATGTCTCATCGGGTAAGAATAAGCTTACACCTATTTAGTTTTACACATCACAAACAGTTCATTATTCATTTTGATTTCTTCGATTTTTCAAGTAATCTGAATGGTTTATATGGAGATACCTATAAAAATTCGGGTATCAAGTGGAATGTCTTTAAAGTTAAGAAAAAAGCTTTTTTTGTACAAATGATGATTCGACCAAAAACCACTTAAAATGTAATAAAAACAAAATTCTACAATCGAATAAACCGTTCAAAAAATAATGGGTAACAATAAAGAAATGACATATTCGTTAGCTCAATTGCAGTTCTTAATTTCGCTATTACGAGAAAGCAATAATGCATATTTTGATATATGTAAAGGAATAATTTATGTTAATTTAAATTTTGTAATGAGATTAAACTCTTAATAAAGTTTTGTCTAGTGCATATATAAAGTTATACCACTGTGCACTGGACAGCTGCTGTACTCAACTTCCGGTATGTGCGCATTGTACACATATACATATACACTGAGCAATCCGGCAACCTGCTCAACATGTTAATGTGCCAGGCGTCCAGCAATGAATCCCCCACAGCCGCTTGACTTCTATTAGTGGGCTGAGTGTGTGTTGTGGGCAGTTATGCAAGTGTGAGTTGAATACGGGAGAGTTCGGTTCCAATATTGCCGGTCAGTCCCACAGTCCGCACTCACACATACGCAGTTGCAGTAGCTGTTACGGATGCTGTTCCCTTCGCTTTTCTCAAAAGTTCATTTTGCATTCTTCGCTGTCAGCTGCTCTTTGTGCTCCGTTTTTTTTTTCTTCTGTTATTTTATTGTACTATATTTTTTTCTTTTGCTGCCATTTCTATTTGATTTTATTGCTTTTGTCTTGCTATATGTGTACATATATTCGTTCGAATGTGTTTTTTTTTTTCTGCTTGTTTTTTTATGACTTCTAGGGATTGAGTCCATTTCATTTTGCTATTCTCTGTGCCTGGCAGATGATTTGACTGGGGTATTAATAAAATATCGAATAAAGTCCATGGAAGATGATGGCTTTTTAGATATGTGTTTTTGCATTTAATTATATAATCAATTTAATGTGATGCATTATGTGATATTCGTATATTTTTATCATTTTATCATTTAATAAACAAATTTCATAATATATTATTTTTTAGATATTAAAGTGTTTTTGAGTGTAGCTCGATGAGCTTTACCCTTGAAAAAATAAAATACTATAAATAATAGAATTTTATCTTATCACATATACATTCACAGGGTAACCCTTAGTCGAAAATAGCTCAAAAATCTAGTTGAATTTGTATATTTTTTATAATTTCGAAGCGAACTTCCAGTACCAACCAGTTACACGTTGACAACAGCCACTGAATTGGGATTTCTTATCAGTTTAATGCGCTTCGAGAGACTAGATGTTATGTGTGTATATGGGTGTGTGTATATATGTTTGTAGTGTGTAAGAGTGTGTGTGTGTGTGTGTGCTGCTATCAGTAAAATAGAAGCCAGTCAGACGTTAAGAAATGTGAAATTTGTATCAAATTACCGAACCAAGCAAATATTGTCTATATAAATTTGAATGTCTGGTCTTTCGAGTTGCAAATAATAGTTTTAACAATGCCTTTCAATAATATGTCAAATATTTTTCAGAATAAAATTGACAACGGGGCTCATGGCATTGCATACATTTGTACATTTGTCTTTTAATAGAAAATGTATTTAATTAAGCTGAGTACTGAAAAGATTAAAGTCTTCTCAGATAATAAATGTCAGCTTATTATATTATTGTATTTAGATACAAACGTAATAAACGTCAGTTTATTATATGGTCGTATTTAGATACATATATTCTATTATTTACATTTTGAGATAAGGAAATGACTTTCACAAACTTTGAATTATAAAAAAGGCCGAAAATATTTCTTAAATTCCTAAATATATATAAACATAATTATTTTAGCAACAAAGACAAGCTTCTGCTTCAGAGGATATAGTAGGAAGAAAAATATATCTATTCTATTCATTTTCTTTGTTTTTAAAAATTCATTTCATCGCAATATCGAATAAAATCTACTTGAATTTTTTTTACTATTACCAATCGAAAATTAAATATACCAATTCGAAACATATTTATTTTAGGTTATGTAAAGCTGATTCCTGTGCAAAACATTACGTAAATTGTTTATTGATCAGAAATACTTTCCAATTACAAGTAATTTTCCAGTAAACAAACAACGCTTTCAGTTCTCAAGAATTCCAGGGAAAAAACAAGCACATTATCGTATTTAGCATTCGCATCAGCTTGCAAACTTGACATTTGAACTGCAGTTCCAATTAAAACGAAGAAAACAAAATAAACAAAACACATGTCAAAGGCCCTAATTAATCGAGTTCATTGCCTGACCAGCAAAAAAAAAAAGCTTGTCAAGCAAAAGTAAAAAAAAAATAAAGGAAAAGAAAAGAAAAAGTTTTACAAAAATCAAAAGGCGCAAATAAAGCATCAAGACCGAATGAAGTTGACGCTGATGACCTTCTCTTAAGGTTCAGTGCCGGCAGCGATTTATGCAACCCGGCAGGGTGTCAGAGAGAGCCCTGCAAAAGGCACAAGCCTCGTAACTGACACCCTGTGAAACCCAACAGCGCCCCAAGCCGCCCACCCGTGCCTCGTTCCAGCCGCTACCCAGTGCGCCTGCCAGTCATGCAAATGACAGGTAATTGACCTCATAAGGCACACAGCGCGAGCGGGAGAGAAAGAGAGGGTGCGAGGGAGTGGCAGCTAAGTGTGCGATAGATGCAACAATTTTTACTTTCCATGTGTTATTTGATGTATGTGCAAGTTGGGTACGCTCCCCTTCCCATTCCCGTCTCCACTCTTAAATGTGAGTTGTGTGTTGTTCTTTGTACATTTTACTTTATACATATTTTTTTTACACCCTACCAGAGGGTAAAGTAAAGTCCACAATAAAAAAAATGAATATAGAATGTTAACTAATTTCCCAGTCGAGTTACATAATTATCATATGACACCGATTACAATTCTTGTGGTAGTTATTGCACACGTCAATATCGGCAAAGTCGGACTATTATGTGACAATGTTACAATAACTAGGACTATAACTATTATATAAAATAATTCTAAGATAGTTAAGTGTAATTCACTCAGAGCCAAGGGCTAAGGAAACCTCATAATAAGTGGAACATTGAAAATTAATATGAAAAATTATTTGCTTTTTATATTTTGAAAAAAAAAAAAGAAACTAAACAGTTATACATTAAATCGAACTACTTTCTATATATGATTGTTGCAAAAAACTACGATACATACAAATTGGACACAATTTAAAACGTTTTTTTTTTTTTAAGAAATTTTATCTTATACAAATGCTTTCTGCCTGAGAGGGCATTTAATTGTCGGCATGTCCACAACAGCTAGGTGATATTTGTTACTTTCATTTTTTCTCGTTTTTTGTTTTCGCCCATTTAAGTATAATTTTGTAATTTTTTTTTAGACATTTGTCACGTTGCTTTGTACGTGAAATTCTAAAATGTTAATGTGCCAGACGAGCGGCAACTTATTCTGGTTCCGCTGGGTCGCTTTAAGTGCGTTCTTATATCTGAAGCAGGCCTTAATGTGTAGCCCACATTGGGAAATGTGTTGTGTGTGGGAGTTTGTGGGAGTGTGTTTGTATGTGTGTGGGTGTGTGTTCGAGTGCGTTTGTGCCTACAACTTCTGGTTACATTTTCCATATGTGCGTTTTCTTTCGGTGTGGGTAAACGAGCAATTGCGATTAATTGCATTTGATAAAATGCCATTAAAAATTTTATAACAGAAAGTTGCAACTTGTTGTCTTCCAACAAATCTCCCAATTCGGATCCCTTCCACTTAAGTGTAATTTTTTCTTTTTTTTTTCTAATTTGCACAAAAGTATAAAAAAAAACGACATCAAGTTACGTGGGCAACTTTAAAGAATACTCAAGTTTTTTAATGTGAGCTAAGTTTGAAAGCAAATTTCAAAATTACCGTTCATTTGATCTTGATCTTGTTGTAAAACAATTCACATTAAAACAAGTAAGAGGTTCTAGTCGGGAGCTCCCGACTAGGGGATACCCTGAACCCTCTTCTTCCAACATCAAATGCATATATATATTCTATTTTAGAAGCTATATGTCAAGTTTGGTGACTCTAGCTCTTATTATTTACCGAAATTGCCTAAAAAACAGGACATTGATATCGATTTTTATCGATTGCTTGGAAACGGAGTAAGTTATCGATTATCGGAAACAAACGCGATCTGCGCGGGAGCTAGGAGCACCTACATCTAAAATTTCAAGTCTCTAGTTCTTATAGGTTCTGAGATCCTTGCGTTCATACATACGGACGGACGGACGGACGGACAGACAGACGGACATGGCTAGATCGACTCAGCTATTGATGCTGATCAAGAATATATATACTTTATGGGGTCGGAGAAGCTTCCTTCTACCTGTTGCACAAATACAATATACCCTTACACCCATTTTTAATGGGTTCAGGGTATAAAAATCTGTTTTTTGAACAGCGTCTGTCAAGCGGAGTTTCCGCCTAATTGGGGCTTGTGGAGTAAAACTTAAAAATAAAGAAATGGCTAGACAGAAAATATCTGAGCCAGAAGGGTGGAGCATCCGTTGGGAGAGTTAACACTGTGTGTACATATCCATGAGTGTGTGTAATTCGAAAATTTCGCAACATTTCCGATTCATTTGACATTCAACAAATGTTCCAAGAAATTGTGATATATTTCAACAGCTTAAAGAAGAAGAGGGAACATGCAAACTAAATCCAATCGCCATGAATTTATGAATTTTATGCGTGCTTATCAGCAAAACATGCCGCTGGGCCCAGTCCGAGTAACAACAAGAGCTAGCATAACAATGCCAACAACAATGGGAATAATCGCAGCTTCAACAACAAATGTGCGTGATAGAACGCGTAGGCAATTCGAGTCCAAGCTCAGAGAAGGAGGGAGAAAGCGTGAGTAAGAGCGTGAGTGGGAGCATGAGTTAGAGTGAGCGCGATAGTGGGAGCTATAGCAAGAGCCTGAGCGGGAGTGAGAGCGTAAATTAGAGAGCGAGCGTTAGCCCGAGGTACGAGCGAGCACACAAACGCAAGCGTGTGTTTTTGTGATGTGAAGCTCAGAAGCGAACAAGAGCAAACGAGGCGTGAAAATCGCAAACAAATCGTAAAAAGCGCAACAAGAAGAAACGAGACAACGGGCAAAGTAGTGTAGAACACAAACATGCACACATATGCATAGA